GGCTGCTCCCCGGCCACCTGAGGAGGGTCCCACATGGTGCTCAGACCTCTCCTGCCGCCCGCTGCCCCCCTCAGCAGTGTCCTTCGGTCCTTCTGCCTGTTCTGCTCCCCGCTCTGGCTCTGGTGAATTCTCTCACCCTCCCGCACTTCTGACTGTACCCAGTGCTTGTATAAACAAATTAATAAATCTTAAAAAAAAAAAAAACAAAGTTACATTGTTTTTAATTGCAGGACTATATGGAGGAAATGCAAGCTTCACCAGAGAGATACCAGTGGGCTAGTGAAGAGAGCACTTCCCTTGGAGAGGGGAGAGTGGGTTTGGAATGCCGGCTGGGCGAAGTGTCAGAGCAGTGTGCCTGCTAGAGATGGAACATCTTCATCCCTGATCTCTCCGTTGATATATTCTGACCTCACCCCCCACGGGAAGGTATAAGGACTAGGGGCCTTTCAGAGGTGGTTGCATATCAGAGTGGAGCCCTAATAGAAGATTGTTTTGTAAAGATGGGGTGCTCATGAGTGGAATAAGTGCCTTTATAAGAGACCCCACGGAGCACCTTCACCTTCACCCCTTCTTTCCACCTTGCGAGGACGCACTGAGAAGACAGGTATCCGGGGACTCAGAAAGACATTGTCAGACGCTGGATCTGCTGATGCCTTGATCTTGGATTTCCAAACTCCAGAACTGTGAGCAATTTCACAGTTTCTATTATTTCTGCCCTCCAGTCTCTGGAACTTTGTTATGACAGCTGAATGGACTAAGACAATGGCCCTGGGGAGAATTATTGAACTTCTCACGGCCTCAGTTTCCCCAACTGTAAGACGGGACTAAACGCCCATATGTTGTGAGGATAAAATGAAGCCCTACACTGTACCGAGCACACAGTGGGTGCTCCGCCAGCGTTCCTCCCCTGTTTCCCCATTTTGGCAGTATGCCCACCTCTCCCCGAGCCTCCGTTTCCTTATCTGTCCATTGGACCGGGTCACCGTGAGGTTCAAAATGTGATAATTCATATGAAAGTAACTTCCTCACAGACACTCAAGAAATGTTTTTGAAAATTTGTTTTATTTTATTTCTACACAGGTTATACGTCATCGAGGAAAAAATTACTGAATCCAGGTAATTAGCATTTCCCAAAGAAGGTCCTTAACATTTTCCTGAGAAGCACTATTTGTTCTGGCTCATTTAAATAGTTTGTCTGTCTGAAAGCGGGGACCTGGCCTAGGTAGCTATTGAGGCTTTGTCTGCCTCCCTGAATGTATGATTCTTTCCAGTCTGACATTTGAAGAAATATGAACTTGAACTCCTAGAACAGATAGAGAGTTGTAAACCAATGTTACCTCAATAATGAATAATGATAACACACAAAAAATATAACAAAAGAACAAGAGTCGAAGGGAAGAAGGGGCATGGAGTGTCAAGGTCACTTTTCACTGCTTCAGAATGACACCATTCACACATAACCATTGCTCATTTTTTCTAAAAATGTTCTACATAAGATACAGTAAAATTATTTTCTCACGAAAGCAACTTCTAAGAACTTTGACTTCTAAAAACCCTGAATAGGGCCTCCCTGGTGGCACAGCGGGTGAGTGCTGGGATGGGAAGCTGCACGCAGCCTCTGTGGTGCCGGTTCGATCCCCGGCTGCTCGCCGGCCGCCGGAGGAGGGTCCCACATGGCGCGCAGACCTCTCCTGCTGCACCCGCTGCTCCCCTCAGCAGTGTACTTCGGTCCTTCTGCCTGCTCTGCTCCCCGCCCTGGCTCTGGTGAATTCTCTCGCCCTCCTGCGCTTCCGACTGTATCCAGTGCTTGTATAAATCAATCAATCAATCAATCTTGTATAAATAAATAAATAAATCTTTTTTAAATAATAAATAAATAAAACACAAGACTCAGTTGGATCTACAAACACCATTTTTGTTTGGAATTCCTAAAAGATAGTCTTTGCTATTACAAGAGAACTGTCACTTTTTTCCATTTTGCCTTTCCAAGACAGGCATCATTCGAGTAGGTGAGAATTTGCAGCCCATTTGAAGAAATTCCAATTCATTCAGGTGGCGAAAGAAAGGACTGGATGAGTTTCGGAGAGGGATGTTAGCTGGTGAGTCAGAGAGTCAGGTCACTTACCAATTTCTCGATACTGTAGAGGAAGAAGTAAAGATGTGTGGGTGCTAGACCTATTGGGCCCCACCCTTCCAGCTTCAAACCTTGATTGGATCTGCTAATTCCAAGCCCACCTTTGTGTGAGAGAGGGATGGCAGACATCGTGTGTGTTTCATTAGGTGAGTAAAATGTCAGTGAGTCAAAAGCTTTTCAACTTGGTTTTTTGGAAGTGAGATGGGAACCCCAAAAAAGGATGGCTATAGAAAACCAAAAATAGGGCCTCCCTGGTGGCACAAGTTGTTAAGCACAGCACTGTGAAGCTATCCACAGTCTCTGCAGCACAAGTTCAATCCCCTGCCGGCCAGGGAGCCACCCACATGGCGCAGCAGACCTCTCCTGACTCGCCCACTGCTCCCCTCAGCAGTGTACTACGGTCAATATGCCTGTTCTGCTCCCCACTCTGTCTCTGGTAAGTCCTCTCACCCCCTCATCCCTGGCCTATACACCAATTTCTTTTTATTTTTTTTTATTTTTTTATTTATACAAGAACCCGGGTACAGGCCAGAGGCGCAGGAGGGTGAGAGGATTCACCAGAGACAGAGCGGGGAACAGAACAGGCAGACTGACCAAACACACTGCTGAGGGGAGCAGCAGGCACGACAGGAGAGGTCTGCTGCACCACGTGGGACCCTCGCCAGCCGGCCGGGATTGAACTGGCACTGCAGAGGCTACAGACAGCTTCACAGCGCGGCGCTCAGCCGCCTGCACCACCAGGGGAGGCCCTACACCAATTTCTTGTATGCATAAATAAATCTTTTAAAAAAAATATTGGTGTGTGGTTAATTAACAGTTAACCTGGGCAAGGGTTGCAGGGATTTATCTGTGTGTGTGACGGGTGTGTGAGTGGTCTCCCAGAGGCGGGGACCTTTTCTTCCCTCCTTATTATCATGGGAAAATTGGTTACTGCTTTCAGCTTTCTTCAAGAGAGAGAGCTTCCAGGCTGGGAGGTTTGCCAGGAAAGGCTATCAGATAGCCCAGTCTTCATCAGATGCCAGCCTTCTTGGAATTATTTTTCCCCAAATAGCATGTAAAGAGCTCAGTTCTGATGGTGTATGTCATCTTCTAACATAGATGAGTCTTTCTAGAGCCAGCCAAGATAAACACACTTGCACAATTATGCATCACAGATGTTAGGACCAGTGTCCACCCTGAACTTCCTCAACCATCACCTGAGACAGAACACACTTTGGAAGGCAAATAACAGACAAAATGTACAGATAAGTTACCTTTTTTTTTTTTTTTTTACTAAATTTAGGAAACATGTAACACACGGGAAAGTGTTCTTTCTTGAGGCAGGAGAATTACTGTGTTACAATTAAGGTCACCAATTCACTGCTGCAAGAGCTAAGGTCTTTATTTACAAAGCAGATGGCAGGGGAAACACCTACCGCCCACCCTGATGCTGAGCCCTGGTAAGCTTACGGGGGAGAGGAATTCAGGTCAGAAACCCGAACTTCAGCACAGGCCCTGCTGCTGGCAGTGACCTAAGGCAGGCCATCTCTCACCTCTAAGCCTCATGTATTATAACATGAAGCAAATGCTAATTGCAGGGTTCTGGGAAGTCTCAATGAGAACATGAATGTGAAAGAACTAAGAACAGAATCCAAAAATGTGAAATTTTATTATTATTCACCCTCTGAATTTACACAGAAGCAAACAAGATAAGGATGGGGTACACTGACAGCAGGGACTTCTGGGGTCACCATAGGGCCAGTACTAAGCTCACACTCAACACAGGGTTGTCGACCAGACTGGAGATGAATAAGGTTAGAGGAATTTGTCATTGAATCTAGAACAATCTGTAGGGGGTCCAAGGCTTGCTTTTCACCTCCCACTCATCTGAGATGCTGTGGTATCCACATGGGTGGTCCCAGTGGTTCTGTGCTGAATATAAAGTTAATGTTTCCCAGATGTCACAAGCAATGCAAGAGCTAAGGAGAACTTAAGGTTCTTTGTGGAAGCCAGGTGGGCCCTGGTGGAAGGCTGCAAGGAGCCGCCAAGGTCCAGATGAACACTGTGGGGTGCCAGAGGCCAGCCTTCATCCACAGAGTGAGGACAGACAGGAACTCACAACCGCACCTAAGACATTCTGACTACAGAACTGTCTCCGGGTCCAGCCTGGCTATCTTGGCTTGGCTAAGAGAACTAACAAGACTGACTTTCAATAAGTGAGTTCCTAGATTTCTCAGCACTTCCACTTGGAATCACCTTTTTAGCATTGAGGGATCAAATTTTCCAAGTGAAAAGACTTCATTCCTCAGGACCAGCCTTAAATTTGTTCAGCTTCCTCCAAGACTTGGAGGATGCAGCAACACCCAGCCTCAACCCGTTCTTAATGGGTCTTGCCCACATCTTTTCATTTTGCTTTGGGCAGAGGCAGGAGTGACGCTCCCCACAGTCTAGGCAAGGTTAGAAAGCGTCAGGCTGGTATCTCTCTATGTGTTTGGAAAAGTGGAGCAACCCCATGAGACCACGTGGTTGGTCTTGGCATGAAAGACCTGCCAATGGAGGGTGAGAGGCTGTGATTTCTAAGGGGGCAGTGGGGGTGGTGAAGAGCAAGAAGGCGGGCCTTAATGGTCCTCCTCCCTGAACAGCTCTTGTCATCATTTCCTAGGCTGGGGATTCACTTAACAAATTTGAAAACTTCTGTCACGGGACTTAGGTGCCAGGGAAGAGAAGTAAACTTTTTTTTTTTTTTTTTTTTTTTTTTTTCAGGAAAACAGAAATTTGCTCCTGGCTCAATGCTTTTTAGTGGCAGAAACAGAAAAGGATGGTGACATCTCTCGGCTCTCTGGACTCACAGTAGAAAATCATTCCTTCGGGAAAAGGAATTCTCTTCTTCAAACCGAAATTCAATAAAAGAACAGATCTTTACTTGACTCTGGACGCTGGGTTTCTGAAAGACAGAATAAGCGTGATGAGGAGGAAGCTGGCTCTGGGGCCAAATGAAAATAAATCTTTTTTGAAAAATCATTTCTATTTCATCTTTTCCCCGCAGAAACCCTCTGGGGCGGGCAGTATTTTAGTGCATCATTTACAAAATGGGGCAGCTGCGATATGGAGGTTGGGGAATGTGACTTTAGTCCCTGAGGCGAGATGGGGAAGAAAGTTGGGGTTCATTTGAACCCAGGCCATGAAGATGTTCATGTCACCCCACCCAGATCACGCCCCCCTAGAAGTTCACCCTGACACCACCTTCAAATTGAGTGTGGAGCCTAGAGCCCTGACCTTTGGCCTGAGTTGGCATTTTCCCCACCTGCAGCGTCCTCGGTGGCTCCCGTGTTCCACAGTGAAAACAACATCTGGGACAGAACAAACTAATCCTCATGAATTAGTTCATTTTTTCAGTTATCTCAGTTCAGTCCAGCTCAGGTAACAGGACTCTAAATAGAGTTGCTTCTCGCCGGCAGCTCTCCTCAGGAGTGTACTTCGGTCAATCTGCATGTTCTGATGCCCACTCTGTCTCTGGTGAATCCTCTCACCCCCCACACCTCTGGCCTGTACCCCAGCACTTGTATGCATAAATAAATAAATCTTTTAAAATAAATAAATAAATAGAGTTGCTTCTATAACGAAACAAGAGGAAAGAACACTTACAAGATACCAAGTGCCTGGGGGTCTTTGAGACTAAAATAAAACAAATTCTAACCATACAAATACTGAATAGAAATGAGGGTCCTTTCAGCTGCTGGAGACCCTGGTTACTATGCCACCAGCTTCTCCTTCAGTTTATTGTCAGAATACAGATACTTACTTTCACTTGCAAGGCTGGTACTGGCAGGTCCGCGATCTGGGGAGGAATATACTTTCTTATCTAGAAAAATAGAAGAAAACATGATTGGAAATGAAATCTCTGAAACTAGCTTAGAAGAAAATGCCACGTAACTCCCCAAGGGCCCTAGATCACCTGCCCCTCGGTCTTGGACATCTAGCATATTTTCTCATCAGATGCTACAAAAACCAAAAGCTTTTAAGGCCCATTGAGCCTTGTTCCCGCCTCACAGGCAGTATTTCAGAGGAAGGGCCGCCAACCTCCAACAGACTCTGGACTGTCAGTCACCAACTAATATGACTAATGGCAATGCTAGGAGGAGTTTGAACTTGCAACCATAGAGACTTCACGGATGCACATTTGTCTTAGGCTGTGTTTACAGATTTTGAGAACAGGATGATGGCTACATTGGAGCTGTGCCGTGAGGTGCCTGGCGTGTCATAGATGCTCACTGCATCTTCGCTGAAATGGATTTGAACTGTACAGAGTTGTCATGTTTGGGAGGCGATGACTTGAACCATCTGTGTTCTAAGCAACTGTTGAAACAGGGGCCTGCAATGTGTATGCACAGGCGCAGACACAAACACAGTTGGCTGAATTTTCCCTCTGAATGCAATAGGAACAGATTTTTTTAAAAAAAGCACAAGGTGGGAATTTTCATAGGTTGCCCAAGCATATTTTTATGATTTACTCTTTTAAAGCTACATTCCCAGTCAAAGTTTGGAAATGACAGAGTGGTATTTTAATGCGCAATTTGGTTCTGATATTTGGATGGAGCACAGTGCCTGCCTTAAGCAGGCTATGCTGAACAGGCCCTTTGTGGACTCTATACTTAGTGCAGAGTAAAGGCAACTTCCAGTAATTTCTTTCAGGCCCCGAGTGCTAGAACCACAGCTGTGTATGGCCTAGGGAACTGTAAAGCAAATTCACCCAGAGGCACTGAATGCCAGAGAATGCAGACTTGGCCCCAGAACCCATAAAACATGTATGCTATGACCATTCTCTCATAGGAAGACAAACCTTGTAGCAGAGTAAGTTTTGGGGGAAGTATACTTCAGACCAATTTTGCCCCATCCTTTTACAAGGAAGAGAGTCTTGTGGTTTTGATGGGTATTTTACATGTAGCAGACACCGATGAAACATTTGTTGGCTGAGGGAGGGCGTGAGGGAAGAAGTGAATGAGCCTCAGGGAATTTTCATTCAGGGAAGGATGGAGGGCAGAGGGCAGGAGAAGCCCAGTGTGCAGGCACCAGCCCGCAGGCACCTTGAGAGGCTCCAGGCAGCAACGGGGCTGGCACTGAAATGCCTCTGAATGTTACTGTATGGAGCGGGTGGTTGTTATAGTCTGTCCTTGCTTGTGCCCAGGAGCCTGGCATCCACTAGATGTGCAAGTGGTCAGCCTGTTTGGAGGCTAGAATTTGAGCCTACAGTGTGTCTCAGAGTTCTGTCTTACAGGTAGCAGCCCATGGTTTTCTAGGGGTTACGTCCAAATAAACAAACAGACTGGGGTGAAGGTTCTGGGCCAAGTCCACGTGGCCCCCCCCCTTTGGTCCTTGAACTGGGAATGCCCGTGACGCAGCCTACAGAAGAGCTTGGCATATACAAGCACAACATTCTGTCCCGCGGAGCCCCATATCTGGAGTGGCAGCAATGGCCTCGGCACCCCACCGCACACCAACTCACACTCAACCACAACCAATCAGAGGCAGTCCTCCAAGCACCTGGAGGCCCTTCCTTACAGTGAGCGAAGCTGTGAGGCAGATTGAAGAGCACCCCCGCGCTTCCGGCAATCTGGGCCGAGTTGTAATCCTCCCAGGAGGTGGGTTCCTGAGGAAGGGCTAGGCATCGGTCTTGCTGGAGGAGACTTAGGAAGGGCTCATAGTTCTCGTCCTGCTGAGGATCTGGAAGCAGGTGCCCCTCAGAAAAGGCCGGAGGGTAGCCAGGCTCTGGGGAGCCAGGGCTGGCTGCGGAGAACGACCACAGCTCCTCATGCTGGGTGGAAGGGCTCTCGGTCAGGGGCATCAGGAACGGCTCCGTGGCAGCGGAACCAAACCCTTCCAAGCTGCAGTTGGCGGCACCATTTTCAAAAGATACTTCTGGCTGTGGCTTCGTCCACTGAGAAGAGAAACGCCATTGATTGGGAGGCATGTCACTATCTGGGAAGAGAAGATTTAGAAGACACGTGAGGTGTGTGTTGCTTTCAAACTAGAGGTAGCTTGTTTTTCTGGTTAACACATGCTATTTTTGTAGTGTGGAGAAAATACAGAAAAGGTTAAAGGACAAAGCATTCTGCGCATCTATCTAGAGACCGCCCCTGTGGACGAGTAGGTCGGCTCCTTTCTAGAATTTGCTTCTTCTTGTGTATGTGTTGTTGTCACATCATGTACTGTTTTTAAGGCTGCTTCCACATGGTTAAGATATTGAGACTGTTCTCCCCTAGCGGTGAAGAGGAGCGGCAGCAGCACTGTGACTACAGAAGGGCAGCGACGTGGCCTGGTGGTTACTGTCATTTCTGTACTTATAGGAACAACACTGTTCCGAGCATCTTTGTATGTACATCTTTGCATCCCTGTCCAACGGGTTCTTCAAGGAAACGGCTAGAAATAGGATTGCTTGATTAAACATAATTTGTGTTGGGTCATTGCTGTCATTTCACTTTACAGCTGGTGTTTTCAATACACTTAAGAGGAGGGCGCCTAGGAAGAACTTTCTGAAGGGTTTCACGCTTGCCTATATCAGCCACTCACACAAGTCTAGGGATTGAAAACCCATTTTCAAGAAGGATCTGGACATGAGAACATTAAGAAACTGGACCCGGCCTCCCCTGGTGGCTCAGCAGTTGAGCGCTAGGCTGCGAGGCTGCCCGCAGCCTCTGCAGCGCCAGTTCGATTCCCGGCCTCCGGGCGAGAGTCCCACATGGCGCGCAGACCTCTCCTGCCGCCCGCTGCTCCCCTCAGCAGTGTGCTTCGGTCCTTCTGCCTGCTCTGCTCCCCGCGCTGGCTCTGGTGAATTCTCTCACCCTCCCGCGCTTCTGACTGTACCCAGTGCTTGTATAAATAAATAAATATATAAATAAATCTTAAAAAAAAAAAAAAGAAAAAGAAACTGGACCACGGTAGCCAGAGCACATTAACCAAGCAGGGATGCGAGCTGAAGCAGTGACTGCTCAAAGCAAGGGATGGCTCCGTCTCTTCTGGCAAAGTTCTTGTGGACTGGCCGATGGGGTGGCGTCTTCTTGGGTCTCACAGACACTAACCTACTTGTGCCTGTTATTGAGGTTGAATCTGGGTTCTCAAAACGTCTCGGATAGTTCCAGACATGGGTGGATGCTTTCCCCATTCTCTACAAGCACTCAGGCCAGAGAGGAGGGAGAGAGCGCCGGCAGACGGTGCTCAGCATCTGCAGCCTCTCGTTGATCCAAACGAATGGAGGGGGTGTAGGCATGGAGACAGGGCGATGGGGACGATCCCGTGCACGGGTTCCCTTACCCTCCACTCGTGCCTCTCCCAGCTCTCCTGAATGTTCTGTTGGACTCGATTGCCAGCAGGAGAAAAACATCTGAGCGGCCTGCGGAGTGACACTGGGAGGCCCCCGCCCACCACCATCTGCAATATAGATGATAACAGCAAAATAAGTCCAGTCCCACAAGGCAAAGACCTTCAGCCCAACATTTCATATTGTTCACGAGGAGTGATGGGCAATGATTGGCTTCTTTTAATGAAAACCAGAACAAGGGAACATATATTGAGATTTGTTCCTAAGGATGAAAGCTGCTTTTAAAAACGGATATCTGCAGACCAGTCGCCATTCAGGGTCACTGTGCACAAACAGAGCAATTAAGTTGACTTAGTAAAATTGCTGCCGAGTTTCCTACTGAATGAGGGTACTGCACGTCCTAAGCACAAATTGGAAGCAATGTGTAGCCTCTGACAGCTGGGCAGTTCCTATCTGCACTGGCCTTTCGGATCTCATCCATACGACCCGGGCACTGAATGCTTGAAATGTGGAAGGCAGGGTCCCAGCATGCTTGTAATATTTCCTTTAAGTGCTTCCCTTCCAGAATTCTCTAAAATGTGAAGGGGAGCGGGTGGTGTGCCACATCCAACCCTTAGACAAAGTCTGTAAATTCTGCCTTCCAACTAGCTCCACTTCTCCCCACCTCCACAGCTATCGCCTTGTCCCTGCAGCCACCCTCTCCCCCCACCTCCTGCATTTTTACAGTAGCCCCTAATCTGCCTCCCTGCTTCTGCCCTGGCTCCCCCTCAGTCTCTTTACCAGAGAGCTGTCACAATGATGTGGCCGAAATGCAAGGCGAAGCCTATCACTCTTCTGTTCCAAACCCTCCGAGAGCTTCCCATCTCACTTGGGGTGGAATCCAAAGTCCTTCCTGGAAACCCGCCTATCTTGGGCCCTGTTATCTTCCTGATCTCAGCGTCCCACAGCTTGCCACCTCAGTCCACCCGGTCTCACCTCCAGCTATTTGTGCAACAGGCCAAGTACAGTCCTGCCTCAGGCCCTTTGCACCTCCTCTGCCCTCTCCCTGAAAGGCTCCTTGCCAGATAACTGCATGACTTCCCCTTTCTTCATTCCAGTCTCCATCGGAATGTCACCTCTGCAGACAGGCCTCCTCTGAGCCTACTGAAGCAATAGTAGCCCGCCCTGTCTATCTTCTTACTCTGTTTTGTTTATCTTCTCAGCATTTGTCACCACTGGGCATGTGACACAGTTACATGTGTCCTGCTTATCTCCCCACCCCCGGCGCCCCAGCCTCTGAATTCCAGGGCAGCGGGGATGTGCTCTGTTTACTGCTGCTTTCCAAGCACCTGGAGCCCATGCTTGACACGTGGAACACTTAGGAAATACAGCCTGAAGGAGTGACATTGTAACTCACTATGGATGGGAGCACGTGGGGAGGCACTGAGTATCCCAAACCCGAATTCACAGCACCCTAAGGGGACGGCAGTCTGGGAATTGACCTTTCCAGTCCAGGCTTGTGTGTCAGTTTCCCGGGGAGTGGACACCTGTTGGTGGATCACTCTCTCAGGCTTCGTGGGCCGCCTGCTCCAGCAGTCAGGCCCATGGAAACTGTGACCTGATGAAGGACCCTAAGCCACAGCCTGACTGGCTCAAGGTTTCAGCAGCTGCTGCCAGAAGGGACCCAGATAACACTTTCTGACTCAAGTTTCTCCTTTTAGTTACCTCTGGGTCTGAGGGGGAGCCCCAGGGAAGACTGCTGCTCTTCCAAACCCCCAACTACATGAACAAATGGAGAGCAGGTGAGAAAAGCTCTGCTTCTGGACACGCAGGGCAGGCTGGGTTTTAGGTTGAGCAGGAACACGAAAGCGTCTCTCCCACACACTCCCACCCTGGACACAGTGGCCGCCGCTTAGTCCCAGCCGCGACTCTGGAATTCCTGAGGAGGCTGGTGCTCTAGGTCCTGTTCAGAAAGTGCTAGTCCCCATTTCCAACTCTGCCCCTTCAGGGAGAAAGTGCCAGGCCATCCCCCAGCCCAGTCTCCTAAGCCAAGCCAGCGACAGTCCACACCTGCCCTTCTGAGGGCCTCTGAAACCTCCTGAATGCATCTCCAAGCACTGAAGGCTGCCTCCACCCCCAGGACCCTTTCCAAAAGCCTAGTTAAAAGGATACTCGTGTCGGGCCTCCCCGGTGGCGCAGCGGTTGAGCGCTGGGTTGCGAAGCTGCCCGCGGCCTCTGTGGCGCCGGTTCGATCCCCGGCTGCTCCCGGCCACCGGAGGAGGGTCCCACGTGGCGCGCAGACCTCTCCTGCCGCCCGCTGCTCCCCTCAGCAGTGTACTTCGGTCCTTCTGCCTGCTCTGCTCCCCGCTCTGGCTCTGGTGAATTCTCTCACCCTCCCGCGCTTCTGACTGTACCCAGTGCATGTATAAGCAAAAAACAAAACAAACCAGCAAACAAATAAATAAAGCATGCCTCTATAAAAAAAAAAAAAAAAAAAAGATACTCGTGTCATTAAAATGACTTAATGGCATGAACAGATCAATACAGCTTAATGCCGACTGGCTTAATGTGGACTGGAAAAAAGAGTCACAACCCATGACGTACAAAAATATCACGTTGTAAAACTCATGTCTGTAGAAATGCACATGTGGCTTCGGGTCCTGGGTGCTTATCTGTATTTTCTAAATTTTCAAAAATTAACGTTTTTGAAGTAAAAACTGGATCAGTGACTCCAAGTCGGAGCTGTGAAAGATGGAGCCCTAATTGCAGGATGTCCTTCCGTCCTTCCTTCTCCTGCCCACCCCCCATTCTTGCCTGTCATGCAAAGCCTGCTTGCCGATGAAGTGGACACCCAGAATGCCCAGAACATGCAAACACATGCCCGCATCCAGCAACAGGAAGGTCCAGCCTGCAGCAGCCCAGGCCACCCACATTGGCTCACCCCTCTCTGCCTCCTTGGCAGGTGGCACTAGCCCCGCACTCATTCAGCCCAGGAACAAAGAGGACAGCCTTTGTATTAGCTAAGGTTGCAATAACACCAGAGACAGAACAATGGCTCACAGGGGACCATCTTGGTCTTGGGCACCCGGGGGCCCGCTCAGGTCCCCTCTCTCTTTCACTGTCACCTTCCCAGGGTCCCTCGTCTCTGCAGGTTCCTTTTCCCAACTGGAAGTGGAGATGAAATACAGAACATGTGCCAGCATTTTAAAAGTTGGATAAGTAAGAGCTCAGGATCTGGAACCAAATCAATCCAGCTGAGAACATGCTGGCAGCCCCTTACTAGATGTGGGATCTTGGGCAAGTCACTGGGATGCCTGAGCCTCAGTTTCCAGGAAAATAGGTGAGATTTAACCTTTCTGTCGGTATGAGGTTCAATGAAGTAATCGGTCAGACCGCCCCTAGCATTACAATGCCACTAGTAATTATCCCGTGCGCATTAACCCTCTCATCATCATGGTGACAGGGTCTGCAATGGGCTCCTCAAAGGCAGGGGACAGTGGAACAGACTAGAGACTGGCTCTGACATGTGACTGCTCTGGGTAGCCATCTCTATCACTCACTGGCTGTGTGACCCATCTTTTCTCACTTAGCCTCTCTGGGCTGCATGTTCTACTCTGTAAAAGCAAGACTATAGATACTCATTGGAAGGTGTACTTCATGAGGTAAAATACACATACAGGAAACACACAGCTGAAGTGGCAGCGAAGAATTTGCAAACTGGGTGGCAAGGACTGAGATCAAGGACTAGAACATCATAGCCTCCCTGGCAACCCCTCCTGTCCCTTTCCAGTCACTACCCCTCCCCCCAAAGGTCACCTCTCTCCTATCTCAAAACACCATTGATTCAGTGTGTGTGTCTTTGACCTTTGTAGATCACAGTGGATTTTGAGGACTAGAGCAAATGCAGAAATAGTGGTAGTGTCTGGGGGAGAGGGAGTCTCAATATATGTGGGTGCAGATTCTGCTTCCCCCTTACTGGAAGGAAAGCTGTGAAGTTGTTGGTAGTCACAGGACCATAAGTGACTGGCGTGGCTACATCATATCGATATTCACACTAAAAAGGAAACACAGACACACACACAGACAACACAGACACACACACACACACACACACACACACACTGGATTATGCGGGAGTCGGGGAGAGGAAATGCTGAGGTGTCACTTTCTCTCAGCAGGCCTGGGTCTGGGCTCAGGGATCAGGCTCAAGGTTGGGAAAGGAAGAATCTGGGGTGAGATGTGCCCGAGGGCTGTGTCTCCCCCCAAACTGGTAACACCTGAAGCTTCTCAAGTTCCATCCTCTAAAATCCCCAGTGACCTTTTAAAAGGGCTGGGCTGCGAGGCTGCCCGCAGCCTCTGCAGCACCGGTTCATTCCCAGGCCGCCGGCGAGGGTCCCACCAAAAAAAAAAATAAATAAATAAATAAATAAAAGGGAGATAGATAATTCAAAGAAATCTTCACCCTGTGGGAAGTACAGCCAGTATAAATTAGACCTAAGTAAATAAAAACATAACTTTGATTAAGGCAAAGCAGCCAGGAAACTGGATGGCATTTCCTAGTCAATGGGGCCTCTGCGCGTTTGGACTTTGCATATTGACTTGACAAAGTGCTCTTAGAATATTCGAGATTCGGCTGTGGGAACCCATGAATGAGAGCTTGTTTTCAGCCTGGCTTCACTGGAGCTAGGCAGCCTGGACTGCAGGGGTGAGAGGACACTAACGGTCAGTAATGAAAGGCCACTTTATGGACTTCCCGCCATTTTCCAAGCTGCAATGTACCTCACATAACACCGCCGGTGAGAACTGCTAGGGACAAGTTTTCTTTCATGGGGCCCTCCCCTAAGGCAGCAGAGCTTGTGAGATGCTCCCTCATAACTGTGATGACCTTGTGGACAGGCCTCCATCTGCTCAGTCAGCCATACAAATATTTGCCTCATATTCTGTGAGAGAGACAGTGTCTTCACAGCCAAGGGATCTGTGTGATCCTCACAGGGAAAATGCAACAGCCAGGAAGGTAGGTGAAGAAGAAAGCTGCCTCCCTGGCCTGGGAGGGCTGGCTTGGGCCAGAAACAGAGCCATGTCCAAGTTTCCTTAGTGGGCAGGGAAGCCACAGGATACAGAGGGAAGTCAGATGGCTTAGGAAATGGTACCGCTGACAGCACAAGTCCCTGGATAACAAGGCCAGCTGCTCTATGATTCTGTTTCGAATGTGGGCCCTCCTCACTCATATCCACTCTACTCATTGTAAAACGCCTGTCAAGCCCAGTACCACTGCCTCACAAATGACTAGGCCCACATAGCACGCACTTCCTATGTGCCACTTGACGTGTTCCCTCAAGGACTCCTACAGTGAAATACTCACTTTCAGAGATTAGGAAAGTGACGAAAAAAGAGGTGAAGTGACATGCCCGGAGATTTCACTGCTAATAAATGGTGGGGATGGCCTGACCGCTGGCCACCTGGTTCAACAGTCATAAGCACATGAAACTCCCTCTCCGCAGTGACTCCGCCTGTGGCAGAAAACACCCTGTGATCCCAACCACATTTCACTCCTTTAGGCTCTATTCCCTAAGTGCCTTCCAGGTGCCTGGAAAGCAGCAGAAAACAGAGCACATTCTTGCTGCCCTAGAATTCAGAGTCTGGGGTGGTGGGAGGAGCCAACAGGACAAGTGTAAATATATCACACGGTGACAAACGCTAAGAAGATAAACAAAACAGAGTAAGAAGATAGACAGGGCGGGCTACTATTGCTTCAGTAGGCTCAGAGGAGGCCTGTCTGCAGAGGTGACATTCCGATGGAGACTGGAATGAAGAAAGGGGAAGTCATGCAGTTATCTGGCAAGGAGCCTTTCAGGGAGAGGGCAGAGGAGGTGCAAAGGGCCTGAGGCAGGACTGTACTTGGCCTGTTGCACAAATAGCTGGAGGTGAGACCGGGTGGACTGAGGTGGCAAGCTGTGGGACGCTGAGATCAGGAAGATAACAGGGCCCAAGATAGGCGGGTTTCCAGGAAGGACTTTGGATTCCACCCCAAGTGAGATGGGAAGCTCTCGGAGGGTTTGGAACAGAAGAGTGATAGGCTTCGCCTTGCATTTCGGCCACATTATTGTGACAGCTCTCTGGTAAAGAGACTGAGGGGGAGCCAGGGCAGAAGCAGGGAGGCAGGTTAGGGGCTACTGTAAAAATGCAGGAGGTGGGGGGAGAGGGTGGCTGCAGGGACAAGGCAATAGCTGTGGAGGTGGGGAGAAGTGGAGCTAGTTGGAAGGCAGAATTTACAGACTTCTTCCAGGGGTTGGCTGTGGGGTAGGAGATAAAGGAGTTAAACCTGAGTCCTAGCAATTGCAAGAAAGCAGCTGCGAGTTTTTGAGATGGACAGACAGCGGACAGAGGGAAGACTTAAGAGTTGGGTTTAAGGAGAGGGAAGAGCACAAGGGACTATGGCAACAAGCGAATATTGTACAAAAATGAACAGTGATGGGCCTCCCGGGTGGCGCAGCGGTGGAGCGCTGGGCTGTGCTGGGCTGTGAAGCTGCCCGCAGCCTCTGCAGCACCGGTTTGATCCCTGGCCGCCAGGCGAGGGTCCCACATGGCGCGCAGACCTCTCCTGCTCTGCTCTCCCCTCTGGCTCTGGTGAGCCTCACCCTCCCGCCTCTGACTGTACCCAGTGCTTGTACAAAGAAATAAATAAATCTTTAAAAAAAATGATGTAAAATATATATAAATACTTAAAAAAAAGGTCTGAGCTTAGAACTTGTTTCGTGGGAGAGTTCTCTTTAATGTGAAGTAGGAAGGCATGAAATGGGGACTGGATTGAAGGTCCTTACAAGGGGATTATTGAATCCCTGCCAGTGTATTTACAATTAAATCAATGAAACCAAGCACTGATGTGGGTACACTTTATGCAGAAGAACCTGGGGTTTTTGACCCTCAAAGAGAGCAAGTTCAGAGTCTCAGAATCCCACTTGCCACATTTACAGGCTCTTAACACAAGTCGGTGCCCCAGATAACTCCAGATCAGTCCCCCTGCTCTGAAGCACCCAGCGTGTTCTTAGATATGGCCTCCTGCTCCCCTCCACCCCTGGCGCCCATTTTAACAGTCAGCTCCACATCCTTTCTTTCTGATCTGCGGGTACCACACCCTCTTCCACAGGTTTACTTAACTCACAAGACTCTCAGAAAATCACTTGACTGGAAAAATAATTTCTAGGAGAGAAGTAAATCCTGCAAAGGTGAGTACAGCAGTCACACACAAACTCCCCGTCCAGACCTCAAGAGTAAAGCCAGAGAGGTGGTGGCAGAAAACGGGGGAGTCCTTGCCTGAGAGTGAGGACCCCACCAGGAGGCCCGAACCTCCTCCTAGCAGGGGAGCGAAGCACTCAACAGGGCTCAGCCACAGCACAAAGCTCCAGTCAAGCCTTGGTCTACCTGCACGTAAGCTGCCAGAGTGACTTTCTGAGGCCCTGCAGGCCTAGGGCATGGGGTCCTTGGACACTTTTAGGACCCCACGGAAAATCTTTTATTATCTTTGGAAATCAGGGGGAAAAAGGAATATTGATCATGCTAAAGAATATATAAAAATGAATCCAGCCTGGATTAGTTTCATTCACCCACAAATTGGCCATTTACATATTTGTAGTGAAGGCAGGACCTGTGTAGGCCAATGCTTGGGGGGCAGACTACACCCCGGGAGTTTAATTGTGATGGCTTTCTCCAAACCTAGACATTTCAATAAATATATTCTGACAGCGCTCTCTGGAAGCAACCGTTTTGGAGATCTAAGAATGCTTATTTTAAGACAAATGACCAACGGGCCTCCCTGGTGGCGCAGGCAGTTGAGCGCAGCGCTGTGAAGCTGTCCACAGCCCCTGCAGTGCCAGTTCAATGCCCGCCGGTCGCGGAGCAACCCACATGGCGAGGCAGACCTCTCCTGTCTCACCCGCTGCTCTCCTCAGCAGTGTATTTCGTCAGTCTGCCTGTTCTGTTCCCTGCTCTGTCTCTGGTGAATCCTCTCATCCTCCCGCATGTCTGGCCTGTACCCCGGTTCTTTTATAAATAAATAAAATCTTAAAAAAAAAAAAAAAAGGAAAGAAAAATGACCCAACAGTGCATGGAACAGACCCTGCAGCTAGTGCTAAGGGTGGGGAGTGATGAGATTTCTCCTGTCCCTCCAGCCCCGCCCTCACCCACCAGCTCGTCCCCTAGGAAGTCCCATCAGGGAAGGGCTTTTCAGTTGAGGAATCCTTTGTGCTGCAGCCCGGGCAGGCCAATGGGAGTGGCGCCCAGCTGCAGCTGCAGTAATAGTCACAGTGATAATAGCTAACAGTTTGGGAATTATAATCATAATAACGCTGATAATAGCGAACATCTTGGGAATTCTAATCACAATAACCATGCTAACAGCAAAGAGTTTGGGAGCTCGGTTGTGTACTAACCCTTGAACCCAGCGTTTAATACAATCGAGGACTTAATGAAGTAGGTAAACCAACTTGATGAAACCATGTCCATTTCCACTTTAAACTTCTTAGAAGGGGGCATGGCTTCCCACCAGACAGTGTGACTTGCCTTCAGCAAATGCACCCATCTGAGGGCATCGGAGCCCTGGTCTTGTAGTCACAGCCAGAAGGGAACCCCAGCCTCCTCCCTCCCGGCACGCTCACCATTTTTCAGGATCACATCTTCACTCGGACTCAAGGGGCTCGCTCCCTGGGGGCTCTTGACATTGCCCAGAGCTCTGGAGAAGTGTTCATCCACTACGCTGCTGATGTCCCCTTGGAAATAGGTGAAAATGACGCACCGGGAATTCCACTCAGTCTTTATGGGCTTCTGTGTCTGGAGGGCAGCGTTCCTCATTTCTTCCATGGTGGGGGGCACAGGTGAGAGCTGCGGAGCAAATGTATGATTTACGGGTGCTGCTCGGTTCCCAGGTGGCTTGGAGAGGAGCGGCATGGGGGGGGGGCAGGCGGTTCGCCCCCGCCGGGCACAGGCTCTCACGAGGGCTCCAGGGAGCCACCAAGCTCCGGAGCAGTTCGTGGCCAGCTCAACAACAATGCTGTGCTGGTCTGAGAACCAGCTGAGACTCTTGTGTGACCCGCGTTCAGGGAACAGACCGACCTGTAGGAAGCACACAAGGGGCCCTCGCCTGCAGATGAGAATTACCTGGCAACAGAACGGGGAGAGCCTCCGGAAATGGGGGGAAAAGACCTTCAGGGCAAATAGCAGAGTTGCTTGCCTTCTGGGGAAATGCCTTCCCGCTCCAGAGGCCAGAGCCTAGATCCACCCAGAACTACAGACACATCCCTCTGGGCAAAGTTATGTGCTCCCCGGAGACCTTGACTAAGCGACCTGTGGGTTCTTGACCATTTCCCTTTTCCTGAGAAACATTGCTTCCATCTTGACCGCTGCCAGGCAAGAGAATAAACCAGCAAATTCTCCCTGCAACCCCCATGCCTTCACCCATGAGTGAGTGATAGGTCCTGCACCTCCCCACCCATCAGAATCTACTGACACAAACACCACCAGTCCGTAAGGTTTCCTGACATATTCCGACCAAATGCGGAACATCAAAAAAAGTTGACTCTAACACACCGTGGCAACTGAGGTGAAAACCTCCTACACGGGGCTTCCCTGGTGGCGCAAGTGTTAAGACGCAACCTATGAAGCTATCTGCAGCTACTGCAGCATGAGTTCGATCCCTGGCCAGGGAGCTATTACCCACATGGCGCAGCAGACCTCTCCTGAATTGCCCGCTGCCCCCCTCAGCAGTCTACTTTGGTCAACCTGCCCGTTCTGTTCCCCACTCTGTCTCTGTTGAATCCTCTCACCCCCCATGCCTCTGGCCTGTACCCCAGCTCTTGTATGCATAAATAAATAAATCTTTTTTTTTAAAAAAAAGATCATCTCCTACGAGATGATTGGATTGTCAGCTCTGTCCCCCACCGTACCCACCACACCTAGAACAGGCATCGAGTCGTTGCCTTGAACTTGGCCTTCGTCTATGGCATCATTGCATCCTACCTGTGAGCAGAGTCTGTCTCTTTGCACCCAGGCCAGAACCTGACTCCAGACTCGCAGTGACCTTCCCAGAGAAGGAGTTGGGGGGAGGATTCGCTACCTCTGGCTGCCCAATCTGCCTGGCCTTGTGCTCTGACTTAAGACACCTTTAATCTATTCATTCTTGTGATTATCATGAAAATGACTAGAGTTTAATAGCCGCTTTCCCTCTCTAATCGATGAGATCCTTGAGGAGGGGAGCCATTTCTTATTCATTTCTTTATCCCTAGCACCTAGCACAAGGTGGGGAGTCCAGTAAACAATGGCTGAATGACTGAATGCTGCTTCCTGCGGAGAAAGCACAATGCGAGGAAACCGTACCTGGGGTTTGCCGAGCTTGGGTAACTGGGGAGGGGGGAAAAATAGCCTCTCCGGGTAGAATGAAGAGGTTGGAGTCTATGAATTCTGCAGCCTATTCTGTGGTTCTGCTAGAAGTGTCAACAGATTAAGATGGGGACAATAGGAAAGAATCTGGCGGTGAGCCAGGGACCCTTTACTAAAAAGTTCCTCTTTCAGAACCATTCTCGCCCCACTCATAACTGGATAAAGTCTGCAAAAGCCTTTGGTTGAGCTCATCAATCTATTTCCCCCTGGTCGCTCATCACGCAAAGCATGACTACCTGAAAAATGAAATGCATCATTCCCTCATTTAAAAAAAAAAAAACCCAGCCACTTTGAAAAACTGTTTTCAATCTCTTATAAACACATGCTCACATTATGTCCCTGTCGTCCCAACTCTAGGGGCAGTTTGTCAAGGAAAAAAAAAAAAGCTATGCCCAAAGCATCACTCGTACCTGAGTGTTCAAAGCAGCTTTATTTATACTCATGAAATTGTAGAAACGACCCAAATGCCCATCGCCAGGAGAACCAAGCAGCTGGCATGGTCATTTGCATGCGATGGAATATAAAGGAGCAAACTCCCAACACACAGCGTGGATGAAGCGCCAAAGCATTATGTTGAGTGAAAGAAGCCAGACACAAAAGACCAGGTATTGGGTGATTCTCCTTCTGTGGCACAGACACGAGTTATCGCCAGTGATGGAGGTCAGAGCAGGTGGGTGTGAAGCAGAGATCTGCCCGCGCAAGGGCCTCTGGGAACTCTCAAGCAGGTTAGCATGTCCCACATATTGATGAGGATGAATGAGGATACAAGGATGGACACATTTGTCAAAACTCATCAGGTTGTACTCTTAAGATCTGTGCATTTTACCCCAGCAAATTATCTCTCAGTGTATTCAGAGACTCAGAGGCATAGAAATAAAGCCGAGGTGTGGTACACTATAAAGTTATCACAAATGGGGGCAGCACTTCCTCCGAAGCTTCAGTTTACACCTCTGTTTACGCCTTTGTGCCAGAAACTACCCGGATACTTCCCCAAACTTTGCAACTCCTCAAAGTAGGTGCTACGATCCCCATTTTCTAGATAAGAAAATTGGGGCACCCCAATAAACTGCTCAGCCTACACAGCTAGGGAGTGGCAGCGCTGGTATTTGAACCAGGTGTCTTTGGCTCCACTCTGTCCTTTTCCCTAGCCCCTTCCCCTCTACAGGCCTAAGCCTCGGTCTCCCCTTCTGTCAAAGTGAAGACTTGATCTCTAACTTCTAGGAGACCTCGAGCAAGGAATCTAAAGAAGCTCTCTGATTTCCTTCTGGGAATGCAGGCAGCACCCGGGGCGCTCTCTTCTGGCCTCCCCTGGAAGCCACAACCCTCTAAAGCCACTCAATGCCTTTGCAGGACTCGCCCCCTTACTCTTAGGATCGCCAGTGGTCACGGCTCCCGGCTCAGGCTTGACCCGACTTGCAAGTGATCTTTGCCAAGCCTCCCCGAAGCCAAAAGGGACCCAGCTGACCAGGCCCTTGGGACCTCAGGGCTCAGAAGCTCGCTCCCGGTCTCCTTGGGCAGAGACCACAGGCCAGCTGGCCGCAGGCAGGAAAGACTGACGATAGCAAGTCAGAGGCAAGGCCCCAGGCCCACCCCCTTTAGAGAGCTCGGAGCTTGGGCAACTGGGGATCCTGTACCAACCCCAAATGCTATCTCTGCCCCTCTTTTTCCTCCCCAAACACATGGCCACCCAAGCCAAAACAAAGCCATGGCTTACTTCTCTGGAGCCAGCTCACAGGCAGCTCTCTATGCTGCCCTCAGGCCCGGTGACGAGGGATGTTCAAATTCCAAGAACTGTCACTTGGCTGAATCCTTTGCAGAACTGCCTCTCCTTGCACCTCTGGAGCGATGGGAGCAGTTGCATCCTCAAATGAGTCCTCTGTGAGGGTGGGTCCTTTTATTCATAAGTGAATTGGTGGGGTGGGTCTGCCTTGAAGAGGATGCCATAAGGCTAGCACTGGGGGCATCGGGGAGGCTGCAGAAAGGGTGGCACTTTCTTGGAGAAGGCGCTTTTGTATCAGTGCCAAGCTTATAGTGAAAGACTCCTGCAGACAAACCCGAAGGCCAAGCCTTCCAGCCGAACAGTCAAAAGAGCATAACCAGCGGAGGACACGTTGCCTGCAAGCTCCCCAACATACAAGATCGAGAGGCCCCAAGTGCTCCAAGCAGACTGGAGATGTTGCCCCATGTTCCGCGTGGGTCTCTGCGTGTGGCACCCAACGCCAGCAGTTTGTCCTGAGCTCTGCCAGTCTGCCTGCGTGAACACACTGACCAGCAAATGACATCCAGCACCTGGGGAAGGGGTGGGAGGTCAGAGCAGCCGTCACCATGCTCCACTGGAAGGAAGCCCCAAAGGGACCAGGTGACATCTCACGTGACACCTACCCCGACTTCTTCCCACTTGAATTTCCAGCCCTCTTCCCTCCAAAGGCCCCCAGCTTCTCCTACCTTAATTGGTGACCATCAGCCGAGACGGAGCAAGATTCTATGGCTGGGAAGTGTGCGTTTTCATGGCCGCAGGTGCAGGTGCTGTCCACTTTTGAGCCACTCTGTGCTGACGGAAGCAGGGGCCGAGAGTTTGGACCCTCCCTTGCTATTTTCTGCCCCTGTAGCCGGGCTATACAAGGCATTTCCTGCTAGCTATCTATTAAGAATGTAGAAAATGCACTCCGACTAGTCAATCGGGTTGGGCACCTGCAGGAATGAGGAAAATGGGTAGCTCTTTTTTTATTTCTTTCTTTTTGCATTGGAAAAAAAAAGCACTTAGCAATATTGTCTCTTAACGTAGGAGACCAATTGTTTGCCCGGAAACCACACCAAGTCAATAACGTCTGAAACATCAGTTATGGGACTTGGATCAAAACGATGTTCCTCTCAGTCCCAGGAACTGAGCGGCTGCTGGGCTCCTCACGCCTTCCTCCCGCCCCCGTGGGCAGAGAAGGGTGCCCGGACACTGAGGATCTGAACACGGCTCAGGCTTTGGTGCGCTCCCAGGTTACGGGGCTGCGTGAAGCTGCAGAACAGGGACTCCAGCTGGGGACTTGGATCAGGGGGTAGCAATGCTCACTTTGAAAAATCTCCCATATTGCCCGAGTCCGCGGTCCCGTCACCCAGCCCCCCAGCCCAAGGACATCGCGGCTGCTCTCGCTCTCAACGCAACAGCCACAGTCAGGCTATGTGCCCGACACCCCCCTGGGAGTTGTGGTCTGCAGTGAACCACCCTCCGCCTCCATGGAATAAGCACACGCAGGTATGTCCATGTGTGTGCACGCACACGCATGTGACAGGTGTGCCGTCCTCGGCAGTGGAAGGAGAAATTAAGCAGGGGGGAGGAGGCGGGGCTCGCAGGGCGCGATGCTAGGATTGAGATGCTGAGAAAGGACCTGCTGATAAGGCAGCCTGTGGGGGGAAAGCGTGCGGATGCCTGCTTCGTGCTGAGGGCACGTGTAGAGCAGACGGTGGGAA